ACATTTGGACTGTTAGTTTCAATAGTTTTTATACCTCTAGGGCCGCAAATGTAGAAATTTGGTCCCCATCATTTTTCAGACAACCTCCCCCATTTTATGTATGTGTGAGTGTGTGTGTTCAGATTTCAGGCATATGTATGTGCAAGTGTGTGTGTTCAGATTTCAGACAACCTCCCCCATTTTTCTTGGGCATTACATCCAGGTTTCTCTTTGTTTTCCTTGAAAATAACACCAAGAGAAAATAGTCACAGAATGGGGAGGAATATATCTTAACTAGAACAAGGAATGGTAAAAGACTATAACTTGATATTTGAGTATTTGCTCATTTCTTCTTTCCTCAAATAGCCGGCGTAGAATTTCCTGCCTCTCGTGCTTCTTCTGGGCTCTTGCTACATATAAAGTTTTAGATCCTGGTTCCAGTTGCAAAAAGAAAACAAAGGCAAAGTTGAAATCAGTATATTGGAAGAAGAAGAGAGGTATGTATGCAGGGTGTGTAGGTGTGTGTGGTGGGGGGGTGAGGGGAAGAGAGTCAAGGGAATTCTCATACATACCAAGATCCATCCCATCCAAGGCCTCCACAGCTCTTTTTGCATCATCCGGGCATTCAAAGTTCACAAATCCAAAGCCCTTTGAATTCCCATTTTCATCCTTTGAGATAATCAAATTTGATATTGGCCCAAATCTGGCAAACTTCTCACGCAGGAGGTCTTCTGTAAAATCCTGATCGATATTCTTTACATACAAATTGGTGAACTTAGCTTCTGGGTTGGGCACGTTCCTCTCACTCTTCTTAATAAACTTGCCCACAAACCTATACAACTCAATGATACAAACCCAGAAACCCAATCACCAAATATTCCAAAAGGAAAGGCTGGGAACCTCAAAACATGAAAAGAAAGAAATGCAAAGAATAAGCAAATACAGATCCATTCCTAATCCCATCTCATGGGCAATTAACAAACGTACACCACTAAGTAGAAAAAGAATCACAAAAGATGATAATGCTTTAAACAAATCACAAAACATAGCACAAAATACATTTTGGATCATAAACCAATCTTAAAGACAAACTGGTTCCCAAAATACATGAAGACAATATAAGGTCCACTTACAATGGTTTTTCATTTTCTTTAACAATGGTGCAATGAAGGTTCTGGAGAGCATTATTTGCATCTTCCTCAGATTCATACTGGACAAAGCCATAGCCTTTACTCCTTCCATCCTGGCCAGTAGCCACCTTGCAGGAAAGGATTCTCCCAAACTTCATAAATATATTCTGAAGACCCACATTATTGATACTCTCGTGCAAGTTCTATGCAAGACAGAGATTAATCCTTAGTTAGAGAGAGACTGAGAGAGAGAAATTCTTAGTTTTAGACTAGTTCTCAGAAATTACTTTTAAAGAAACCAACAGAAAGCTGGTATTTCTCTCTAACCTTAACAAAGAGGTTCCCGACCCCACTGTTTCTTGCAATTGGATCCTTCAGAGACCACATAACTCGGACCGGTTTCCCATTTAACATTGCGTGGTTCATCTCTGTTACGGCTTTAGAAGCTGGGAATAATCAGAATACAGAGAAAAAATGGCTCTATTAAAGAATCATTCCACCATTCTTTTGGAGAATACCAGAATTCATAAGCAAAAAGAGGGTCAAAGAAGTATTCAAAATCCATTCCACCATTCATTTGGAAAGCACCAGATTTCAGCAGTGTATAAACAGAACATATAGAAAAAAGGACTTAAAAAAGCAAACCATTTCACCATTTTCCAGAAAAACTTTACATCATATTGAGCCATCTTTTTTATCTATCACTATTCAACAACTGTAGAAGTGCAGAGATTATTACATCATTAACCACAAATAAACAATTTGCACCACTGAAACAGGCAGTTTGAGAAGATTAGGCACAGTCTCTCAAATGTTACAAGGGAAACATTTTATTGCATTACCCCATCGATGACACGATGGGTAGTAGGTCATTGATGCCAGCTGGTCAAATGAGCTGAAAAATCAAAGACCTAAAATTTCAAACAGGCAAATTTTGATTGGACTTGTAGACACAAATAAGAACTTAGCAGTCCTTTTACACAAGTTGTCAATATGAATTTTGAGAAACAAGGAAAATATAATTAGTGGAACAATGGCATCCCCAAGAGGTAACCGCATAACCACCAACAGCTTTAGCCCCAGCAATGAAAAAGATTGGCACGACATATTGCTCTCTCTCTCTCTCTGATACAAAACAGGATCAGTGAAGAACAAATCATAAGAACAACAACCTTCCTGATGCCATTCAGAAAAAACAAAACCATGGATAGGTGTTCCATAAATTTTGGCCACACAAATCCTTGTGAATCCCACAAAATCTTCAATCTTTGAGTCCAGTATGTATCACTAAGTTCATAATAAGAAGAAAGAGTCCAATAAATCAATGACTAAGACATCCTCAGAGGATGGCATTTCATATCCCAACCCGCCATTATAAAATCACTTTCTAAATTATGAAACTTCATTATGGTATTGTAGCATTCTCAAGTAAATATAACAATACCAAGGCCCAAACTTAAGAAATCTAAACCACAATTGAAGATCCTGACATATGAGACGTACACAGTCACTTAAAGCTACAAAGACAATCATCAAAAGAATATAAGGGAGTACTACATATTGCTGATCACAAGTAACATGAAATCAAAACAAAGCAGAAAAAGTATTCAAATCAAATATTTGATATACAAATAAAAGTATTTGACTACATGACCCGAAATGGAAAGAAGGACTTATGAATCCCATGTTTTAAAAAACATGTTTATAGAGATAAAACAGTTACAGATAAATTTCAAGCAAATATGGAAGGGTAAAGAAAAATAAATGCAAAAGCTATTAATATAGTGAGAAAGAAACTAAGATCTGGCGTGGACCTCTATCTTTATGTAAGTATGAATCACCTTACAAAGAGAGAACTGACTGCTACATGCTTTATTCACTAGTGGAAACACTAGGTTGCCTGCAAGTGATCTCATGACCAATTATCATACAGTTTTTTTGCTTTTCCTAAGTACAAAATGAGGAAACCTAATTTTTGTGGGTGTCTTGGGTTCTCTAAGGGACAGGAACTTTGAGCAATAAATGAGTTGTGGAATACCAGAGAGACGATGCATTTACCAAATAGATTAAACAGAACGTTACTGCTACCAAGCTTGAACAGCTTAGAAAGTTCATATCCTCTCAACGCTCCACTATCTGTACGCATTAGGATTCCGTGAAACCTTAACGATCTCAACAGTACCTTACTGACTATTCATTCACCAATTGTTTTGCCATTTTTCTGGCATCAATCTGAACTGTTCTTTTTCTTGATATATCACAAAGACGGAGATGTAAATTCTTTTCTATAAACGCCAGAATACAGAGGACATCCACCATTACAGAATATAAAAGGAGGCAAACTGTGATCTTAAGACGTCATTTTGCCGGGTCAGCAAAGCCTTTAGTCTCAGTCACCTTGGCCTAAGAACCATCCCCATTGTATTTTCTTTTCTCTTCTCCACCTCCCCCCTCTATTCCCTCTTTCCCATAACGGATCCTTGGCCTTCGTAAGCCATGAGCAAGGACCTTTGTGGAAGGAAATTTTGTAATACATCTGACTGACATTCATAGTTTGTGTATGCCAAAATTTTGTAAGAACATACATATTATAAGCAATACAGCCAACTTTTCTCAAAAAAACACCAAGCCGCAAATGCATTGAGGACAGAGAAAAGGGGACCAAGCAAAACCAACTCCACCATTTGCTCCAACAAAACTAGAATGCAGCAGCAGTCATTTGCTCACTAGAAAAGAGAGAGAATATAAGAAAACCCTTTCCACCAATGTTCCACAAAAACACCAGAGTTCAGGAAAAGAGAGAAAAATGGACCATTAAAGATCCACCCATTTCCTGTATATACTTTACATAACACAATTGCACAAGAATTACAATCAAAATATATACACAGAATAAGAGCTGAGAATCGACAGACTCAGAAAATAGAAAAGGATCCAAGAAAAACAAATCCTGCCATTCTTTGTTCCAATAACAAACCAGAAAAGGCTTATAATCAGAATATATGGAAAAATAAATCCTATTGAAAAATCTTTAATGCAAGGAAAAAAAGAATCAAGAAATGCAGACTCAGTACTGAAAGAAAGACAAAAATAAGCCAAGGAAGACATATTCCATCATTCATTGCAAGCACTTCAGAATTAAGAAGCATCATATACTCAGAAGATAGATAGATACATACATACGTGCATGCATGCATACCTGCATGCAGATGTATATTACATATTCAGACAATGAGAAAGTCAGAACCATTAAAAACACATCCCACCATTCATATAAAGAAAATGAGAATGCAAATGCAGTTTAACATAAGAAAGTAAACAATGTACAAAAACCCCATTCACCGTTCATTAGAAGAAAAGCGCAAGTCTATCTATTCCAAAAAAATGTATTCCACCATTGATTTAACGAAAACCAAAAAGACGAGAACTAAACGATTCCAGAAATCCCCATTCGACCATTCATTCAAAGAAAACCATAATGCAGATTCAAATACAACCCCATGAATCCATTCATTTGAAGAAAACCATAATGCACACTCGTCATAACATAAAAAGGGAGATAAAGTAACCAAAAAAGACATTCCCCCATTGACACAAATAACTAAAAAATTCATCAAACCCAGAACCAAAAACCAGAAAAGAAAGTGAAAACAGACAAGAGAAAGAAGAAGAAAGGGAAAGGGGGCTTACCATCAAGAGTGGCAACATAGTTGACATAACCGTAGCCAAGAGAGCGACCTGTAACTGTATCTCGAACCACACGAACAGAGGAAACAGTACCAATAGAGGAGAAGCCCTCATAGAGCTGGTCATCTGTAACGTCGGGGTGAAGGTCCCCCACATACAGAGGCGGAGCAGTACCAGAGAGAACCGCCATTGCTGCGCTTTTTCTCTGCAACGTTAATGGAGATTCCTGGTTTTTGCAGAGTCCTCACAAAATGATTAGCGCAAAAATGTGGGGAAGTGTGGTTTAGGAGCACGATGGAATGAGAGAGAAAGAAAGATGGCGCGGAGCGGGGAAGAGAGAGAGAGAGAGAAGGCTTTCGCGTTTAGAGAGAGAGACAGAGATTTCGCTCTTCCACAGCGCGTGACCGAGTCCAACAAATCTTATTCAACGCTTTCCGTTCATGTTTTGCTGTTAGTTTTGTAGCTTGAGGATTGATTTTTATCACATTTTTTTTATTATTATTTTGGGTTTGGTTTCAATAAGGTTGCAACCTTAAACAATCCTATTAAGGTGCACCTCTAAATTTTATCTTAAATATAATTTTGGAACAAAAAATTATTAGAATGGCTTGAGAATTTATTTTTAAACTTTAAGAGTAATTTAAATGAAGTAGACCTAAAAACATATAAAAATTTTGTAAATAGACTATCAAAATAAAGTATTGCAAAATACATTTTTTCGAACTTGAAATCCTTTTTTTTTTATTCATATTCATATATCTCGATGTCGAGATTATCAATTACAGGTTTTCCAACATCGAAACAACCTTACATTAAAAAAAATTTATTATTTTTTATTAGTTATCACCAGGGCTTGAAAACTCGCCCAGTCGAGCCGGACTTGCCCGGTTCGACTCGGGAAATGTCTGCAACCGAGCCGATTCTACGAAAAAACCGAGAATCTCCCGTGTCTAGAGAGAAACGGGCGAATCCCAATAGTGAATCGCAAGTCTTACACGTGTTCACGAGTCATACACGTGAGCAACACGTGGCACCTAAAAAGACTCCACACATTGTAACTCACCTCACATGTCGGCCCCATCGCTTTCTAGACGCACAATGTAATATCTATTACACATGAATATATAAAAAACAAAGCAACCCTCATCCTTCGATGTAGAATAATTCCCACAAAAAATCATTAAGCAAGACGATTGAATATATATTATCATAAAAGCTAATATATTCACATTAAGCGATGTGGCGGTGTTGGTTGACATCTCTGATTTTAAGGGGGAGGTCTAGAGTTTGAACCCTTTAGCGCTCGAGTCCCTCGTTATTTGTTGTCAAAAAAATTTTTGTTATATAAAAATAGAAAAAATAAAAAATAAAAAGCTTTTCAAGGTAAAAATAAAAAAAATAATAAAACACTTTTTTATTTTTTTTGTAAAAAAAATATAAAGTAATATAACAAGTCTTTCTTGCAAAAAAATAAAACAAAAGGCATAAAAAAATAAAATGTACTTCGGCAGCATCATTTTTTTATTTTTCTTGTAAAATAAAATAAAAAGTAATACAACGAGCAAAAAAAAATGTAGTACAACATCTTCTTCTTTTGTCAAAAAAAAAAAAAGGATAATCAACAAGTATCATATTTTTCTTGTAAAAATAAATAAAAGATAACACAATAAGTATTTCTTGTCAAAAAAATAAAAGGAATTTCTTAATAGAATAAATGGTCTGATTATATTTTTTTATTTTTATAATATGATGGTCTTTAACATAAATTTAGTAATATTAATTAAAGATAGGATTCATGGAATGAGGCCATTTGAAATCTCTCTCTTTCTACTAAGTAGTATTAACAATCTCTTCCACTAATTTATTCTAGAAACCTAAAAAATTAAAGAAAATTGGTACGCATTCTAATAATTTCTCCATTGATAACCAAATTTTTATTTTATTTATTAATTTTTGTATTATATCATGTAATTATTTTTATTACAGTTGTCAATAATACATTTAAAATTAGATGATGTTATAAAATATTTTGGATTTGTTATTATTTATATAATAAAATAATTATAAAATATTGTTGGTATATAATATTATAGTTAGTTAGGTTGTAATAATTTGGGTTTTTTTAGCGGATTAGGGTTTTTTGCCAATTCGAGATTTTAGTGGCCAATTTTTCATCGATTTAGTCAACTCTTTATTGTAATCCATATATGATTTTATACTTAATCCATGATAATTCTATGATTCCTTTTATGTGATGTAAATTTAATGGTCAACATAAATTCATACAGGAAAAGAACATCTCAATATTCATAAATTGATGAAAACAATGAAAGTTAATAATGTAGTACCCCCATTTCTTATTGGATTCCTAAAAAATAACATTTATAATAAATTTTAATAATCTTTTAAAATTTTTCTAAAGCTTAATCCGAGTGATTCGGCTCGATTCTTAATCCAGATCGCTGATTCGTCGATCCAAATCGATTTTTAAGATGTTCGATCTGAATTACCGATCTGTTTTTTAAACCAAATTTTATAGCGGAATATGCTTTCACCATCCATTCGTGTACCCTACCCTTTTCTTATCTATTCTCCTCGAATTTTCTTATTTGAGTAGGTAAGCACGTGGATTTGGAAGAAGCGAATGCATCATATGGAAAGTATAGGACTAACTACCTTTTATTTTGCAATTATTACATATATCATAACCATAAAACATTGACCACCTTTGCCAACTTTTCATGAATTTATTGTGCATGGTATATTGGGAACATGACTCAACATAAGCGATTAGAAAGGCAGGGGCAATCATGTAAATTCCCCCACTTTGACACATTAGTTCAATGGCATGGCTCTCGGAAGCCAAGCTAGCCCTAGTTTGGCTAGGTCCCTATAGGGATGACTCGGGCTGCCCAGACCCAACCGACCTAGCTGAAGAGCATTGGTCTGACCCAACCCACCCCAGCCAAGGCCTGGCCCGACCTTGACACTGGGGTTGTGGTGCCCTAGGCTTGGCCATCATTATGTGCCCTAACCTACTTTCTTGGCCAGGCCGCCTCTCAGCCCATTAACAGCCCTAAGCCCAGGTCATATTTTGACATTAAAGGGATTAAGACACACAAACTAAATCTATTAGTAAATATGTTCATGGGTGGTCCATTATGCAATATGAGATTTACCAAGGAAATATTAAAAAAAAAAAGAAAAAAAAAGAAAAAATTATATAAATAGACTATTTACCTTTGATATAAGGAGGTAACCATTATTTTTGTTTGTCAAATTTTAAATTGGGCGGTTGTAAAAATGTCATTGATTGTAACTTCTTTATAACAATTATAAAGAGTCTTATACTATACAATCCCAACATAAAATACATCAATTTGAGGGAGTAAATAATAACAAAATTTATATTATTTTAAGGATAAAGTTATTTAAAGATTATATAGAGATTATATTTAGAGAGGGAGCAAACTTTTTCCTTATTTTAATCATTAATATACGAGTGTGAGACAACTTTAAAGGATAGTTATTTAAAGATACTTTCAAACAAAAAAATAAAGTTACTTAAAGATTATTGAAGAAATAACAAGATATGCACACATACATGTAAAACATACATATTGCAATAGCAATGTTCATATGTCATAAATAAATGTGACAACCAGTGTTTTAAAAAATAGATCGGTGACACCGATCGGATATCCCAAAAATCGATTCGGATCGGCGAATCAACGATCCGAATCGGAAATCGGGCCTAATCGCTCAGATTAAGCCTTAAAAACATTCAAAAAAATTATTTAAATTCATTATAAATGTTGTCTTTTAGGAATCCAATAAGAAATGTGGGTACTACATTATTAACTTTCATTGTTTTCATCAATTTATGAATATTGAGATGTTTTTTCCCTGTATGAACTTATGTTGACCATTAAATTTACGTCACACAAAAGAAATCGTAGAATTATCATGAATTAAGCATATAATCATATAGGGACTACAATAAAGAGCTGATTAAATCGATGAAAAATTGGCCACTAAAATCTCGAATTGGCGGAAAGCCCTAATCCGCTAAAAAAACCCAAATTATTACAACCTAACTAACTATAATATTATATACCAACAATATTTTATAATTATTTTATTATATAAATAATAACAAATCCAAAATATTTTATAACAGCATCTAATTTTAAATGTATTATTGACAACTGTAATAAAAATAATACAATACATGATATAATACAAAAATTAATAAATAAAATAAAAAATTTGGTTATCAATGGAGAAATTATTAGAATGCGTACCAATTTTCTTTAATTTTTTAGGTTTCTAGAATAAATTAGTGGAAGAGATTGTTAATACTACTTAGTAGAAAGAGAGAGATTTCAAATGGCCTCATTCTATGAATCCTATCTTTAAATTAATATTACTAAATTTATGTTAAAGACCATCATGTTATAAAAATAAAAAAATATAATCAGACCATTTATTCCTAGGTTGTATTAAGAAATACCTTTTATTTTGTTGACAAGAAATACTTATTGTGTTATCTTTTATTTATTTTTACAAGAAAAATATGATACTTGTTGATTATCTTTTTTTTTTTTTGACAAAAGAAAAAGATGTTGTAGTACATTTTTTTTTGCTCGTAGTATTACTTTTTATTTTTTTTTACAAGAAAAATAAAAAAATGATACTGCCAAAATACATTTTATTTTTTTATACCTTTTGTTTTATTTATTTGCAAGAAATACTTGGTATATTACTTTGTATTTTTTTATCTTTATTTTGAAAAGCCTTTTATTTTTTATTTTTTCTATTTTTTTATAACAAAAATTTTTTTGACAACAAAAAACGAGGGACTCGGGCGCCAAGGGGTTCGAACTCTAGACCTCCCCCTTAAAATTGGATATGTCAACCAACACCGCCACATCACCTAATGTGAATATATTAGCTTCTATAATAATATATATTCAATCATTTTGCTTTAATGATTTTTTGTGGGAATTATCTCACATCAAAGGATGAGCGTTGCTTTGTTCTCTATATATTCATGTGTAATAGATATTACATTACACGTGTAGAAAGCGATGGGGCTGACATGTGAGGTGAGTTACCACGTGTGGAGGTTTTTTAGGTGCCACTTGTTGCTCCCGTGAGGCGGCCAAGTGTAAGACTCGCGATTCCAATAGTGAATCGCCCGCGGCCACATGTAAGATTCACGATTCATTTTTTAAGTGCCACGTGTTGCTCCCATGAGGCGGCCACTTGTAAGACTCACGATTTCAATAGTGAATCGCCCGCGGCCACGTGTAGGACTCGCGATTCACTATTGGGAATCGCCTCTCTGGACACGGACGATTCCCGGTTTTTTCGTGGAACATGCTCGGTTGCAGACGATTCCCGTCCGGTTC